AATTCAACTATTACTGCTGTTGATCGCAGCACGCATATTCCGTGTGGCATGCAACATTGTAAACATTGAAACGCTTGTCATGTTTCTCCGACTAACAGATCAAATGACACGCGCATCAGCAACACGACAGCGACACAGCAAAGAGGCAAACACAATGTCAATGCTGCACGGGTGGCAGGTAATAGTCAAACAAGCATCAGGCAGTAATCACAGTTTGATTGGCAAGCGCTGGCCCTGAGCACGGACAAATACAATAGCAATGAAAACACTTTCGAATATGACTTTTTGATGATTTTTGTTTGGCTTAGACTTAGCTTAGATAGTATTGAATTCGGTGTGGAACCTTGCTTGAAGTACGGCCTCAAATGGTGTCCCAGTAGCTGCTGTGCTCGTGGCTGGCACTAACTGAATGCTGTGGCATGTAATAAGCGTGTTGCGACAACATGCCACATGCGGCACAGGCGCAATGGCGCACGCATATGTCGGCCACATGAGCAGTTGGAAGAGAAGTTCTTCCAAATGAAATAATGCCCAGAGATCAGTAGCATACGTAATATGCATACAAAGATGTGTGTGTGTGGGTGTGTGTTTATGTATATGTATTTTGTTTACAAACTGTTTCATAATTGGCTTGAACACACGCAAAACAAACACAAAGTTTAGGCACTCAGAAAAAAATATTTAAAAAAAAGTCGAAATGTACTCGAGGTTGCATACAACAGCTGCTTTAAGCACATTGACGGCCGGCACGTGTCACAAGGTATTCGAGGTATCTGAGAGCTCGTAACTCCTTAAAGATGCTCGCAACATCCAAAAAGGAGGCCAGAGCCAAAGCCAGCGGCTGCGGCAGCGACAGCGGCAGCGGCAGCTGGATGGCAGCCAAAAGTAAATTGCAACAATGTTACGTAGACAAACACAAACAAGTCTCGATGGGCAGATAACTAAATATCAGTTGACATGTAATCGGTATACATATATATTTATATATATATGTATATAGATGTACATGTCTTTGTTTATATACATACACTTGTGCGTGTAAGTAAACAGTATTCGCCGAGTGTGGCTTCTAATGGGCAATTCACAGTTATTTGCCATTCGTGCGTGCGTGCGTGCGTGCGTGTATTCGGTTACATACTCATAAGCATGTGCGTTTCTTTGGCTGGCATTTATGTTATATTTATACCGTTGTATATGTATGTCGTTAAGCACTATATTTTATAAATGTTGCATGCATACATACATACATATATGTTTCTATTTTATGCTATATTCACTATGTCTAAGCTACAAATGTTCAATATTTGAAAATAAATATTTTATTGTTGTCGTTCGCTTTTTCAATTCTTTTAATTGTTTATTTTGTTTTTGTTTTTTTTTTTTTGCTGTGTATTTTTGTTGTTGTTTTTTATTTGTTTTTATGCCGCTTTAGCCGCGCGCCGTGGCCATTCGTTGCGTCTGACACGCGGAACACGTAACACCGCAATGAAGTCGACAGGCGAAAGACAAAATATTTTGGCCCGCTAGCCGAAAACAGCAAAGCGAAAATGGCGAATACGCTGGCAGTGACAGAGGCAGCAAGCATAAAGCAAAAGGCAGAAAGCAGACTTTGCCGACCGACCAACCAACCGACCGTTCGACCGACCGACCGACCGACCAAGCGACCGACCTGGCACAACGGTCACAACACAGCCGAGCACGACTAGCAGCGGGGCAGCGAGGCGCTGCAGGGGCATCTGTGCGAATAAATATAAGAAAACAACAGCGGGCGAAATGAGAAGACGATGGCATCTCGGGCAACGGTAAAGGCGACGGCGGCGACGGCAGCGACATCGGCATTGGCATCGAAACGACGACAACGCTAAATGCACGTGTTATTTGTAACAGCAGCAAAAAAAAAAAGAAAAAAAGTGGAATGAAAGAAATGAAAAATACAATAAAACACAGAGACTTTCGTCGAGAGTGTGTGTGAGAGGGAGAGCATGCGAGAGAGCGCAAGCCAGCAAGCGGGCGAGCTAGTGTGAGAGAGAGAGAGAGAGGACGCGCAAAAGAGCAGACTAATAGCACGCGCAATTGCAATTGAGAGTATTACAAACAGAAGCCAACAGAAGCCAACAGCAGTAGCAGCAGCAGCAGGAGCAATTTGGCTCTCTGTTTTTGTGGTGAATTTGAGCGGCACACACGTGTTCCACTTTTCGAGCGCACCAGGCAACAATAAGCCGCAGTGCAGCCCATCAAGGCCCACAAGAGGCCCGACTCACACCCACTTCCACAGCCCCCACCAGCAGCAGCAGCAGCAGCACCTCGCAATCATGGTGCGGCTCTTGTTACTACATTCTGTCCAAAATGTGCCTTGTGCTAGGCAAATGGTAATGGACACTTACATTGCTGTACACGCACACACACACACATACAAGTGTGTGTATATATATAAGTGGAGGCGCACATGCCATGTGCATTTGTATGCTTTGCCCATACGCAATTTGTGTCGAGTCGCAAGTGGCCACAGTTTTTTGTTTTACTTTCGTTTTGTTCTTGGTTTTTTTTTTTTGTTTGGCTTATGCCCAGCGTAAGCTTAGTTTACAGTTTGTTTTTCTATATATTTCTGGTCTCTTGTTGCCTGGTGTAGCTTGTAACCACACGAAAGTCCACCCTGACATAGATACCATATAAATATCGCATTTAGAGCGCAGAGTGCTTAACTAAACCGCACAAAACTCTGCACAATCAGCATGTGGGAAATGCCAAATTCATTTCATTTTTAATTAATTAAATTAATCAAGTGGACAATTGTTACAAATTGCAGAAGCGACCGCAATTAATTACCGGACTAGGCCATATAAATCTCTCAGCCACATGTCTTATACGTGATATTTAAGTATCGCACGACTGCCACATGGCGTATGAGTAATATAATATAATATTAAATAATATGTCGTGTGAGTAATGCACATAGGCACACACCCCAGCTGAAGCTCAAGCATAATCAAATTAGGAATAATATATTTTGTCAGCTAACTTAGAGAGAGTGAAGAAAATGTCGATATTAGACGTATTCCATGGGCAACATCTAATATATGAAGTACTTTTATCACTTAGCTTGACTAATTAGACTGTTTTTTAGTCAATTTACTCAATCACTTTTGCAACATTTATATTGGGACATTAGTGTTAAGCAGTTGTGTTCCACATGTCGTATGAGTGATATTTTACAAATAATTTAAGACAATCATGGACAAAATTTAGTGTTAAATTGTAATAATATATCTTTAGATAAGTTATGAAATGAAACAATGTCGTTCAACATTTTTTCACAATATTACTTATACGACAGGTGGAACATACTAAACTTAGCTCATCTGGCCTATTCAGCTTATCTAACACAAACATGTCGTATGAGTGACATAATAAAATGTAGTGTAAAATCATAATTATGCATCTATACGTAAGTTACGTGTTGAATCGCAGTCTTACTGCAATTTCCCACAATATTACTTATACGACATGTGGAACAAACAGAGCTTAGCTCATCTTGCCTATTCGATTTATGTGTTCTTTAGCGGTCGTATGAGTGATGTAACAAAATGAAGTGCCAAATTATAATTATACAATGCTATGTTAGCTATATACCTAGTTGCTTGTAACCACATATCGTATGCGTAATATTTGCCACGAAATTACGTATACGACTGACGATACAAATGGACTTTAGCTTATCTTACATAGTGAAAAAACTCACTTTTGTAACCTTTTTGCAGTCATTTAATCTAAATTATTCTCATAATAATTAAGCACTTAAAACTCTCACGTTTTGCCGCGTCAAGTGTTTGCGCGACAACTGAAATTGTTGCCAGCGTCCCCTCAGCAAACGCGTCGAGCAGCGCGTTTAATTCGCACATCAATAACGCAAAAGCAATAAACTTTTTAGTTATGGGAATTAGATTAATAATTCAGCGTTAATTCGCGTTGACTCGCAACAATGGCAATGCGATTCTAGGTTAAAGGCAGTATAAAAACAAAATGTAAACTTATCCAAACTAAACACGCTGATCGACTAGCAAATACCCTGTTTTTATTTATAGTATATGTATATAAAGACTCGTTAATAAATGAGTTACACTTTATAAAAAAAGAAAGGTCAGCTCGAGTGACATTTTTACTTTATAATATTGAAAATGTTTTTTTCTAATATTCATATATATATATATATATATATATATATATATATAACGCTATATTCCACTTTTATTTGAATTCCAGCACTTGGCCATATATCGAACGTACGTTTAGGGTGCATGTCTCGGCTAGTTGGTCGTTTCTGTTGCACACTCATTTTGAGTGTTGTAAATGGCTTGGCATCGCACGCGAAAGCTGAACGCTAAAAAGCTTTTGCACGGCAAATGAATACGCGCACGCTGAAAAGCTCCCTCAGCGGCAGAAAGCGTTTGCATGTCTAACACACTGAGAGCCTCAAGAGAAAGCACTTGAAAGCTGATGCTCACTTATAGCCGCTATGAAAATCTTAAGCTACAATGGTTAAGCTACAGAAAATTAGAGTATCAGATTTTATTGAAGGTGCTTTTAGAATAAAGCGTTTCTTAAAAGCACATTTAAGCTGCTAGCGAAAGCTTTCAACTTTCCATCTTTTCAGAGCCATCTTCAAGAGCGCATAATATCTGCTTCTACCTAACTTTCTCGCTCGAAAACTACAAAATCTAATATAAATATCAAGTTACTGAAATATTAATACCAGATGAATAAGGAGCATAGCTCTTTACGCAATATCTGAGATTGAGTATATTTTGTGAATGATTAAAGAAGAATTTGATGCGGGAATTTTCATAAAATTTCAATGCAAAATAATTATAGAGCAGAGTAAACGTTGTCGATCAAAAAATCGATTCAATTCAGAGTATTCGCGAATGATCTGATGCATCAATTTGATATGTAAATATATCTATATATATATAGGAAGAGATTTGATTGATTGTGATACTCACATGATGCGATGGTAGGCATCCGATTGCGTTTGGGCACATGTCACGGATTGCTCGGACTCCGTAGAATCATCGCGCAGCGTGGCAACGCCGAGCGGTAGGATGGGTATTATAGCAGCTGTTGCAGCTGCCGCTGTTGCCGGCGGTCCCGCCAATGCCGCCGTGTATGCTATCGGCGGCGTACCGGTATAGGTTTGCGTTTGTGGAGATGGTGTCGTGCTAACGGCCTCCTATGAAAACGTGGCCAGAGCCAAAATGACAAGAAAAAAACACACAGAGTTTAGCGAATATATTGCCTATATGTGGGCGCATGGAACATGGCAGTGCACAAAAGTATGAGAATACACAAAAACCTTGAATTCGGCGGATTCCTGTACTGAGAAGCGTTTGCGTTCGTATTGAATTTCCCGCTCAATCGAGCGACTGCGAAAAGCGGGTGGCAGCGAGCGATCCGGCGGTGTTTGCAACTTGGGCGTATCCGGCGTATGAACGCGTCCGCTGGCGCTCACCTGTGTGGCAGCTCCCTGTTGCAGCTGCAGTTGCTGCCGCTGATGTTGCTGCTGCTGTTGCTGTTGTTGCTGTTGTTGCTGCTGCTGCTGCTGCTGCTGTTGTTGTTGCTGCTGTGAATGCGACGAAGTTGTAGGTGGACTTTTCTCGCTTTGCTGTTGTTGCTGCTGTTGTTGTTGCTGCTGTTGCTGCTGCTGCTGCTGCTGATGCTGGTGTAGCTGCTGCTGCTGCTGCCGCTGCTGGTTCTGCTCCTCGCGCTTTTGCTGGCGCCGTATCTCAAAGTCCAGCAAACGCGCCTCTCGTTGCTCCTTGTCGCGCTGTTTACATGCAATTGTTGCAAAGTGCATTTTAACTATAAGTTACTCAGCTCTGCGGCCATTTTATTTGTTTGCCTAATTACGAGCGATACTTGTGCAGTTACTCGGCATTGCCTTAAGTTGACGCGAGATGCATTTAAAAAAAAAACTGTTTTGTTTGCGTTTTTTAATTGGTTTTGCTTTGCTTTGAATTTGTTGCGTTTGCTTTAGCTTTTGCTTTTGCTTTTGCGTTTGCGTTTGCTTTTGTTACTGTTTTTTTGTTTCTGTTTCTGTCTTCTTCAGTTTGCTTGCACACACGCACGGGCACACTCACACTCACAAGCACACACGCACAGCGAGAGAGTAATTTGGACAGAGAGAGAGAGACAGAGAGAGAGAGAGAGAGACTCGCACACTGACACACTCACCTTGTAATTGATGGCGTCCTGCTCTTCCTTTTTGGCCTCACGCTCGTTGCGCTGACGATCGCGTTGCTTTTCCTCGTCGGTTTGCGCTGTTTTGCTGTCTGCGCCGTTGTCAAATTCGCATAAAAGAGAAACAGAAACAAAGGCCGATTGATAACTAATTATGTACAGCTATTTCAATTGCCATCGATTGACTTGGTGGCATCTTCTTCAACCTCATCTTCAGCCTCCTCTGCCATGCGCACGAAATCCTTCTCCGAAATAAAAACCAATCATGAGCAACTCACGAGCATACAAAACAAAATAAATAACTATATATATCTATATGAGTAACCTATATCTATATATATATATATATATGTACATATGCAACTATTTACAGAAACATTTAAGGGCTTAGTGGGATCGGCATGCCATCAAACTAAAGGAATTCACAAAACTCAAACTATTCAAACAAACAAACAAAGAAAGAAACAAACAAACAAACATACACAAGCAGAAAGCGAGAAGTTAAACAAAAATGAACTAGTTCTATTTAGCTACATTCACTTCCCTGTCGCATTCCGACGTGCACAATGCATTTACGAGTTCTACTTAAATAGTTAAGAGATCATCTAGCTATAGAGCGAGCGAGAGAGAGAGAGAGCTACGAATAAGCGAAACTATAAGTTTATAGACTGGTATGCAGTTGTTGTTGTACTTATGTATGTATGTACACTTCCTAGGTGAATGATTGTATAGATTGATATAAATACTGACGAGATTTCGGTATATATGCTGAACTATATTTGTTTAGCCAAAAAGTATGCTACGATTTTTTAATTTTTCTGATTTTACGCCAATCTAATCTAGATAACTACGGTTTATAGAGCTCTTCGTACTTGATTCTTGATACATCAGTATATGTATGTATGTATATATATATAAAGAAAAACAGCTACAAGTCGAGGTCACATAGGGAAAAGCTGAGCTTTCGAATTTTGATGTGAACTATTCTATATAGATGTGAAGTTGACTATGAATCAAACTACAATTTTTTTATATTTATATTTATATATTTTTATATATTATATATATTATATATATTTCGCTTTCAATGGAGCCTAGCGCTTTATGCTCTACAAGCTATTCAAACGTATATATATATATCGATTCATTTGAGCTAGTTCTTTTTCATTTGTAACCATAAAAAAAGATCGATAGTATTATCATTAATATTATTATTATTATTATTGCATTTTCTTTGGTTTTCCTCAGCTAATTATAGGTAACCTACAGTGTTTTCCCTCCGACACCTGTCTAATTGAATAAGTTCGTAAGTTTCGCTTTTAGCTCGTGTCATTGGGGAAAAGGAAGCGCAACCTTCAATTTGTGTTAATGCATTTACACATACATAGATGCATAAGTATTGCACACAGACATACATACCAGATTGTTGTTTTTGTTTGTGTTAGTTGTGCTGCTTCTTCTTCCTCTGCCTCTTGTTGTTTGCTTTGCTTTGAGCACAATAATTGTATTAAATGTGATTACATACATATGTATGTATGTATAGATATGTGTGTGTATAAATGTGTAGCTGTATGTGTGGGTGTGTGTGTGTGTGACATAACCTCTGGCAATGGGAATCACTTGAAGCGAGAATTATGAACAGAGACGCGACGCATTCTACTTATGGACTTACGGGCGTGTGAGCCTGACTGTGTGTGCGTGTGCGTGTGTGTGTGTATGTGTGTGTGAGTGTGTGCATAAGTATACAACAATAGCAAACCAAACGAAAATGAAAACTAAGAACTAAACTTTTCTTTGCAAACGAATTGTTGCACAGCAAAACAATCCAATTTAATTAAAAAATAATATTAATAATAATAATAATAATAATAATAATGATAATGATTATAATAATAATAATAATGAACGCATAATGGCAACAGACTAAACACAAATTATGCGTTAATTTTCAAATTCATTTAGAGGCAACACTACGAGACCAGAGAGACAGACAGAGACAGAGTGAGAGAGAGATAGAGAGAGAGAGAGAGAGAGACAGAGCGAACTAGCGAGCGAGCGAGCGAATAAGACAGCGAGCAAGAGCGAACGATTGAGTGAAATAGGCATACTCCTTACCTCTAGATGTGTTTGTTGTTGTTCATTGTTGTTGTTGTTGTTGTTGATGATGATGTTGTTGATGTTGATGTTGTTGATGTTTTTGTAGTTGTTGCTGTTGTTGTTACTGTTATTGTTATTGTAGTAATTGTTGTAGTAGTTGTTGTTGTCGTAGGTGGTTACAGTGGGTGTGTCGATTGTATGAGATTCGAGCATTAAAAATTTGCAACCTGACGAGTGCGTGTGTTGCGTGTGCAAAGCAGCGGAAAGTTCTTTTTTGTTGTTGTTCTTGTTGTTTTGATTATTTTTTTTTTTGTTTTTATTTTATTAAATTTTTTATTTGCTTGTTTAGCTTGTTGTTGCTTTTAAATTGAATTGGTTTTTGTTTTTGCATTTGGCTTGCGTTATTTCAATTTTGATATTAATTTATTTTCGTTTTTTTTTTCTTTTGTTTTTTTTATGTCATTTTGAACAGCGGCGGCGGCGGCGTTTAACGGCGAATTTTAGCAGCGTGAGCATGTATGTGTGGCGCATACCATGAGGAAAGAGAGAGAGAGATAGAGAGAGAGACAGAGAGAGAGAGAGGAGAGGAGGAGGGGCAGTTAACCGTTACAACCGGGCACAACGAATTATCGAACAAATGGCAGCAGCTGCATACACAGTGGCAGTGTCCGTGTGTGTATGTGTGTGTGTGTGTGTTGCAGTTGTTGTTTGTTTAGCGCTTGGTTTTGTTTTCTTTTGAGTCGAGGAAACACTGAATATACAAATACTCTTGCAGCTATGCTAACATGTTGAGCTGTAGTTAATGTTATGTATTCTGTGTGTGTGTGTGTGAATGTGTGTGTTGGTGTGTGAGTGTGTGTATGTGTGTGGCAAGTATTACATATACGATCTTGCTAGAATTTGTAGCTGAGCTGTGACAGTTACGTGGTCGTGGTGGTGGGCGGTGGGCGTGTCAAGGTGGTTTAACGACACAATATCAAAGAAAAGAAAAGAAACAACAAAATTGTGAATGATTAATAATTTTAGTTGAAACATTTTGCTTTGCTTTGCTCATTTCTTAGTTTAATTTCATTTATTTATTTTTTTTTTTGCAAAAACTATATTTTTAAGTATTTTTGAAGCAAAAACAATCTTAAAATTTGAAATACACTCGGTTGCAGCAGCAGCAGCAGCAAGAGCAGCCACAGATAAAACACATAAATCAACAAAAGAAACAATAGAATTGCCCTCATTCTTTATACGATATATTGACTAATCCTAACTAGGAGAACCCTAATATCTATAGGTTTCTATGCAATATGAATGTTGAGCTAAATTTCTAACTGTTTCTAGCCTTTTTCTTCTCGGTCTAGATCAACTAAGAGCTAAAATATATTTTAGAAAGTTTGTTATATTTTTGATTGGGTTTTTTGTTATCGAAATGAACTTAAAACGTAAAAAGAGAAAACTGAAATTTGTGACAGAGTTTTTTTGTGTTGTACTATATAATATACTTATGTACATATATATAGCATTTCGGTACATGGTACTTAGCACTCGTACTACACGATAACAGACTCATGTTTAATAAACCTACCAAGAGTTTCGATAGGCACACAATCAATATTTTAGTTATACATATACATATATAATTGATACTGATAGTTTAGCATAGTATATAGTATTTTTATTTTTATATATTTATTTATTTTTTTGTTTTTTTTTTTTTTGTTTTATCTATGAGTATACGATTCAGGTTCACTTAGTTACATACGTACGTATACAAACGCAAGAATATATTTAATCGAACTGTAAAACAGAGCAAGAGACTGGGTACATTTAGAGACTTGCCGTTATAAAGGAAGAACAACCAAAGATCCAATTGAAAAAAACGAGTATAAAAACCAAAAACCAAAAAAGTTTTATGAAAAGACGTACAAGAAATCAAAAATGCTGCAACACCTATATCGTACATGCAACTCACTTGAGGAGCCGCCGCCAGCGCCAGGTGGCGGATAGGAAAACCAAAATTGATGTGCCAGTTTGAAATGGCCCAATGGTGGGCTTGCTGCAAGAAAAACAAACAATATACAAATATATATATAGAAAGAGAGAGGGAGAGGGGGAGAGAGGGTGGGGGAGGAAGGGAGAGAGAGAGCGAACTTTGCTATATAATCAAAAAATATACAAAGAACTGCGAAAGCTATTATAGACTGTGTGCCTAAGACCTATTAAAAACGTTTGCCTTGTCGAAGCAACAACAGCTTTAAGCATCTTAAGAAAAGCGTTTTTCTTCTCTTTGTATATGCTACTATAAAACTGTAGTTAAGTTTCTCGAGAGTTTCAAATAAATGTATTTTTATTATATTTTACTTTACTTTATAATAATATACAACAAATTTTATAAGCTGCCAGAAATTTATATCTTTCCATGACCTATAGAAGCACTGAGAGTTGAGGCATTGAAATATTGACAGTAGAGTTTTATTTATTAGATTTTTTACCTAAAACTTGATTTTATAAAGAATCTGTGAAGTCCTTACCAACTCTGCTCTTAGTATAAACAGTTCTAGAATCAAAACTAAGAACCTGAAGAAGTTTGTGTCAATCAAGAATGTTTCAAAAATATTTTAAAAATATATTTATATATATTTATATATATATATATATATATATATATATATATATATATATATATATATATATATATATATATATATATATATATATATAGATATATATATATATATTATATATTTTTATATTATTTTCCATCGAATAATTATTTTCTTTGTTTTTAATAAGCCAAATTTGGCAAAAATATTAAGAAAATAAATATTAAGCTATAAAATTATCAAAAGAAAGTTCTAAAAAGTTTTAAACTCATAGAATAAAAGCCTGGCTAAGTTGGCACTCAAGCAGTTGACCTGATTTTATGCATTCATAGTATATTTTTAATGGAAAATAAAAAAGTATGCAAAAAAACTTCTTTCTAACTTTACTGGCATTCAAATTCTTTATAAATATGAAATATTCTAAAACAATAAACAAAAAGAGAGAGAGAGTAAAGAGAGAGAGGGGGAGTAGAGAGAGCGAGAGAGATGTATTTAGGCCATGCCTACGCTATTAACACCCTAGCATTGAGCTTAGCAGCTATGTAGGTCAGGATATGACCCAATTGCTATCGAGCATGACGGAAATGCTGATCATGGCATAATTGGCTAACCACGTGGCACGTGGCACGTTGCACGTTGTGCCGGCTACCCTGTAAATAGCTGTGCGTCGTGGCACGCTGCATACTCACCAAATAGGTAGAAACGCGTACTTTTTCTTCGGCTTTACAGGGTAAACAAACAGTTGGATTTGGGCTTAATATATTTCGACTGCGTTTTGAGCTACATTTAATAAATCGACTGGCCTATGACCTTTTTATATTGAATGTGGCATAAACATATATGTGTGTGGGTGTATGAGTGTGTGTGGGTTTGCATATATATATATGAACACATATAAATATATGTATATTCATGTATATATATTCATGGCCAGAAATGAACTTTCGAGTTTAGGCTCAGTGCTTAATGGCACACACCCACCCACGCACTCGCACACACACACACACATACACATAGGCGCACGCACAACAAACAACAATAATAAGGCAACGATTCACGAAGGAATCCTTGAGCAAGAAAATTGCTTGGATTAAGCTTCTGGCGATTAACCGGTTGAAATGTCGAACTAAATTGCACTTGTTAAATATGTTGAAACGTTTCGTTTAATTGATAGCTGGGACAGAGCCAGGCACATCTGCAACACTTTTCAAGTGTAATTTAATATGGGAACCTACTATGTGGAATCGACACAGTGCTGCGCTGCCGTTTATCGCGAGTCGTGGAGGGTTCTGCAAGTACGAACAAGTATCAAAACGCCAGCAGCATCAAATGTTTGTCGTCGGCCTTCGCAATGCAAAGCGCTGTCGCTGTCGACGCTGCCGCTGCTGTCGACGTCGTAGGCAACGCCATTTGTGTTCGCTGTCGGCGGCCGTCGGCATTCGGCAGTCGGCAGTCGGCATTCGGGTGGCATTCGGCTCGCCGTTGTGCGCATTCGTATTTTCAGTTACATTGCAGTTGCAGTGAATGTCTCAAGTAGCCCGACCCAGTGTGCCAGTCTTAGCGCTCTCTCACACTCTCTCTCGTGTTTCTTTCACTCTCCTAAGCAGACGCTGTCCCTCTCTCTCTTATAATTTCTTTCGCTCTCCTCTGCCGCTGTGCTTCGTTATTAACGTCGCTTTTCTTTTAATTGGCATTAACGATTTCAAGCCAAAGGCAAGGTGCATAAGGCGAAAACGCTTGCACCACACTGGGGCAAGCAGCCAATACATACATATGGATGCAGCAGGCACATGACAAGCGCAAATAAACAATATAATTATTGTTAATATGCTCAACTATTTAGTTGTTGTGCTTACGTGCCTAACTAGCATTGCTGGCAAACAGCCAGACACAGCATATTGCTGACATCATCAACATACGCCCCACGAAATTGCCGCAAAATGCCAGCAATTGTAGGCTGACCGAAGAAGCCTTGAACTAAAAAAAACATGCAACGAAATGCATAATGCATTGATCAAGCATAAAACAGACAATGATCAGATAGAGACAGAGAGAAAGGGCGATTTAAAATCCCTGATAAGGCTGACTAACTAACTGGGCTAATCGATCAAATGTGTTAACTAGCCTTTATATAAGTTCTTGCTACTCACATACAGTTAATTGTGTGCCAATTTACAGGTAATTGGATAGTAAATTCTGCCTCTTGCCTAGTTGCTGTTGCTGCTGTTGTTGCTGTTGCTGTTGCTGTTGCTGTTGCTAGCCTCAACTGCTTTCAGCCGGAACTAATGACACAATAATTCAGCATATATTTACAATATAGTATGCAATCAGCTTACGTAGTTAGTTCAATTATTCATTCATCCTATACATAGTTGCTAATTTTCTTAAGGTAATCAACTGTGGAGGTCGCATGTTAATATCGTGTGCGATATATAATTAGAAAGCTAATGCACAGCGACACACACACGTACACACACACGAACATATATATATGTAAGCTATATATATATATTATATGTGAACAATTCGTGACACAGTCCATTTATTATAGCATCGGCATGGACAATTGGCATAGAAGAACTATGTACACTTGGCTTTATGGAGAACATAAACAAAAAGGACACTCGACAAAATTTGATATAGATATAGATATTTGTATATATATGGTCTATATAGGCACTTGAAATGTGGTTTCTTATGCGTATCATAAGGCATTACCATTGGCCAAAGACGCGTAGCCAAAACCGGAACAAGCTAAACCAGGGCACGTTTTTGATGCGTGAAGTGAGACTTGTCGGGGACTTGCAATGTGTGTGACTGTGGCTGCTGGACTTGATTGTGCGACTGTTGTGGGCACATCGCCTCGTTGCTGCTGCTGCCCGGACTATGCACATTGTCTCATAATGGATGCCTGATTACGGCCCGAGAACGAACGCCAGCACATGGTTAAAACTCTAACGAGCCACGACGGAGCGGAATAGCGAAACATCAGCAAACTCTCACTCTCTGCTTGCTCTTCTTTATTCTGTTTTTGGTTGTTGTTGGTTTTTTTCTTTCTCCTTCTTCTTCTACTACAGTTGGGAGAGCGCATGGCTCTCAGCACGTCTGCGTGGGAATGTAGGAATTCGCCGAAGGACCCAGCAGGAACTGTCCATGACACCCAGCCAGCCCGCCCACGCAGAGCTCATTTATGCAGTTTAAACATTCACTTCCAATTCACAGATTCTGCCTTTGACACATTAATATAACTTTACCTATTTTATATACACTTTTAAAACTTATAATATATATTTTTATATATCAACTTCTTCCAAAACTCAAAAAGTCCTTAGCCCATTTTGTTGAGCGCCGAACATTTGCGCGAATTTTAAAATTTTGCGCACAGCATCAGCAAAGAACTTATCGAATACCGATAACTAGCACAGCTAACGATATTAACAGCACAACAGCCAGCCAATAATTATCGATATCGGAACAGCGCATCGAAGATAAAGCGGGTTTTACCAATCTCTATGGATCTCCATGGCACAGACTTTTATGCATATTTTCTTCAAAATATTTGACTGGGAATCTTGTCATTCCCCTTGTAATGTTATTCACAGGCGTAGCGTCATACGCCCACGACTTGAAGAGCACAAGGCTAGGCATTGCGCAGGTCCTTAAAACAAAATCAAATAATAAAAAAAAAACGAAACAAAAACAAACCAAATTTGCTAAAAAAAAACCTGCAGTAAGATTTCAAATTCTATTTCTGTTATAAAAAAATTAAAGATATCGTCGTGCTCGATACGCTATCAAATCTAAAAAAAAATACATGAAATATCTCAAATATATATTTCAGAAATTGTATTTGAAGATATTCCAGTTAAAATGAGAGTAAAAAAAATTGAATAAAATTTCTTAGCCAGAGTTTTTTAATAAATAGATATATTTAATAATATCAACTTCGTTTTATGCTTTATTTTTTTATTGAGCACTCGACCTGTCCCAAATGTGCGATAAGTTTTGGTTAAATTATTTTACAAATTGACACATTCGTCGATTTACATACATCATATATGTTCATGTTTCTAAATTTTTGAATTTCGGTTTGGTTTTTCTTCTTTTTTTTTTGAGTTTTTATTTTTTTTGCATATTTTTTTCTTCAATAAAATATATATATATATATATATACATATACATACATATATATATATATATATATATATATATATATATATATATATATATATATATATATATATATATATACATATATATACATACATATATATATATATATATATATATATATATATATATATATATATATATATATATATAAACGGAAAACACTTCTGACAGATCTAGTTGCGATGACAATTTTCTTCAGAATTTTCATAATACATACAAAGACATACATATTTTGTTTTTCGTTTTATTTAAAGTTTTTGTTTTTAGTTTTAGTTTTCAGTGCAGCCTCAACGCAACGGGGTTTTTTTGTTGTATTTCTTTTTGTTTTATTTTGCCATCAACACAAACAAACTATAAATTTGCATTTTCTTATTTGGTTTCAAATGGTTTTTTGAATATATATATATATATATACACACATATATATATATATATATATATTATATATATTATATATATATTTATATATATATATATATTTATATATATATACATATATGTATATACATACATTTACGCATACGTAAGATTTAAACAATGTAATTACTAAGACTAACAATCAAAGCTGTGCAAATCGAAAAATTTATTTATTATTTGGTTTTATTTTTGTTTGTTTTTCCTTTAAATTGTTCTTTATTTAATAATTTGTATTTTTGTTAAATATATATATTTAGGTTTTTTTGTTTTTTCTCTTGTGTTTTATGTATTTTTGATTTTCGAAACGCCAATCAATTCCACATTCGCTGAATTTGATAAAATTGCGATTGCCAGTGTTGAAAAATTCCATATGCTTGAGATACGGAAGATTAAAACCAGTTTCTATAGATCTTCTTTTCGTTTTGTGTTTTCTTTGTTGCTTAGTTTTTTTATTTTCTTTTTTTTTGGTTTTTTTTTCTCTTATTTTTCTTTTTTTTTCTTTTTTGCTCATAGTATCAGTGTCGCCATTTTGTTATATTTATTTCTGTATTCAGAATACGAAAATATTTTGTTTTTAGTGCCAGCAGAATTAACATAAATGTTAATATTAAAATATATATATAAACATTCGAAAGTTGTTTTTCTCTTTAAAATCAGTTTGTTAATTAGCTTAATTTTTTCTCTTCTTTTCCTTTCTTTTCTTTTTCGTCTTTGGATTTTTTTGTTTTTGTTGTTTATTTTGATTTGGTTTGTTTTCAAAAAGGAATCTCTCTTGTTAAAAATATTCCATTTGCATTGGCAACACTGACCGTCATAAGTATATGTACACACGTTTGTACTAGTTCTCGCTGTGTCCAGTTATGTGTCTTAGTTGCGGATGAGCTTTATAGATGATATCGCAGGGTGAAGCGGTTGGCCAACATTCACATGATATTGAAATAAAAGGCAAAAACGATAATATTTACGATCTGTTTATGTGAAGGCGAGTAGAATCCAGAATAAATTTATTATATTATAGAATCGAATGCCAACTTAGTGAAACGGCGAATGGAAGGCCTTTAAACGGAAAGCATAGTTCGTAGTTCAGTAGATATATATTTGCGTATCTACAATATGTTTTCTTTTTCTTCTGCTTCGTCTTCGTTTGTTTGTTTTTTTTTTTTTTGTTGATTAAAACATAACCAATTATGAATTATATTACAGTTTGTTTTTATATTTTATGCCCAGACGATTTTTAACGATTGTAGCCACATTTATAACGTGATAATACTTGCTCGCGTATAACTAACATTTACAATTCTTGGCAACTGAGTTGCAAATTTTTGTGTTTTCTTTTATGGGTTGCTTCTACTTTTTTTTACACATCTGCCCGCCTCTCAGGTCTTCAGTATAACCAGTGTTGAAAAATACAACAATACAACGAAGAGAGAAACAAATTACATTGTGAATCTTTGGAAGTTCACAGTGAGTTAACCTTTTTTTAAATGGGTTTACTACATTTCAGTTTTCAGTTTGTTTTTTTTTTTTTTTGTTTTTTGATTCTAGCGAATGTTCAGTGTTAGCATGGGTTAGAGTGAAATAGCAGCATCTATGAAAACAACAAAAATAAGAAAATAAAATTATATAAGTGTGCATTTATTATTTATAAAAGAGTTTGGAAATACGTGTGAGTTTTGAAAATAAAATCAAATTGAATTTAAATTAAAATCTTCTATTATTTAAGCGCATTTTTACT